AAAAAACAAAAACAACCCCCAAACCCCCCAAAAAACAAACAAACAAACAAACAACCAAACAACCAAACAACAACCCAAAAGGCAAAACAAAACGAAACGACCTCCCCTCCCCCCAAAAACCAACAACAAAAAGATGGTTTCAATATTATACTTTTATTCTGTAAAATGTAAAATAAATGTGATATAAAACTTATGAATCCAACAATTTCTTCTTCCGTTTCCAGCTGATCAAGGTGTTGCGGACTTTGTGTTCCCCCTTGTGGTCAGCATAGTATTTTGGGAAGAACTTAATTCAAGGCTCAGACTATTTTAAGTGTTTTAACTGTGCAGAAATGTTCTTCTTGAACTTTGGCCCTGGAAGAAGATAAGATAAGATACGATAAGATAATACTTTATTATCCCTGAGGGAAATTTTTCTTGGCTGTACAGGACCGTAAGAATACTCGCAGGTATACATAAAGAATTAAACTATACTATATATTACTCTCATTAAAATTCAATATGAAAAGAGAAGTAAAGCTGACAAAATGGAAATTATTTTATGAAAAAAAAAGTAAAAAGAATTTTTTGTATAACACAAGATGTTTCCCTCTCTTCCTCAAATCAAGCAAGGTTCCACTAACCTCACTTATGTTTTGGACTCAACAGAAATATTTCCAGAGCGGGCCGTGGAAAACGTTGCGGCAGGCTAAAGGTCAGAGTTACTTGACCATCGAGTGGACCAATCAGCACGGATGTGGCGGGAACGAAGACAGCAGCCCACAGAAGCAGAACTGTGCTCTGGTCATGCAGTACATGTGCCAGGATGACGTGGACTCTCCAACAGGTAGTTTTAAAAAGTTTTAGTAGAGGTTTTACGGCGCTCGCAACTGCATAAGGTCATATGAGCGCCAGAAGATTAGAGGTGTTACAGGAGAGTGACAAACATAAAAAAGAAGAAGGGGAGATAAGGACGATAGATGTTTGATAGAAAAGAAGGAGCAATCCACACCAGAGCACCCGCCAACCACCCACACAGGTAGTTTGTTTACTTCACACTTCCTTCATCTTTTTAAAAAAATGGTCATCTTTTTTATGTGACCCGTTTTAACCCTATCCGTACGCCCTGGGGTCCTTTTGTACCCGCGGGGTTGTATACTTCACATTTTAGAATACTTCTAGTACGAAGATCTCTTTGAGACTTTCAGTTTTTCTCAAAAAATCATTTTGACAGACTGCTATGCAAAACGATTAACGAGTAATTTCCTCTTTGGAAAGTGGTGGCACAGAGTTCCCCACGACGTACGGATAGGGTTAAGTGGTGGCACAGAGTTCCCCACGTTGTATGGATACGATAGTAAAACACGACATACGGATAGGGTTAACCAGGCCTAACACATTGCTCATTTAATTTGTGGCGAGATAGAATTTGATATAGAGGTCACATATTACTTTCACAGCACAGAGTGGTTTCAATATGGTTATTCGTAATGTTTTTATTATCTCATACTGTTCCCTGTTAGGTGTAATGACTGACTTATCTTGCTCTGTCACCATTTATTACTCCTCAACAGAAATGACCCATCTCTCCTCAAGGTCATAAAGTTTGCCTCCAATCTTCTTTTACCTTATTTTTCTTTGTCTAGTACAAGATTTAATACTTATACTGTACTAGTTTGGTAAGAGGTGTGTGGTAGTGGTATGGGGTTGTTTTTTAAAAATATTTTTTAGTAGAGGTTTTACGGCGCTCGCAACTGCATAAAGTCATATGAGCACTAGAGGTTTAGAGGTGTTACAAGAGAGTAACAAACATAAAAAAGAAGAAGGTGAGATAAGGACGATAGATGTTTGTTAGGAAAGAAGGAGCAAACCACACCAGAGCTCCCGCGAACCGCCCACGGTATGGGGTTTAAGGGGGATTCTAATATGATAGCAGTTGTGATGCCCAAGCTCCTATTCAATTGCATTGATGTCAAAATCGTGGATGGGTCGTTTTGCGGAGTTATCAAACCTTTCAACCTGTTTGGCTGAGTCCTCTCAGAGACAGAGGTCAAATTCTGTGGCATGGCCCTGCCTCCAAGTTTAACATCCATCACTTTTTTTTTTAATAGTAGAGGGTTTTACGACGCTCGCAACTGCATAAGGTCATATGAGCGCCAAGTCCATCACTTTAAATGACCTAATAGCGTTAATAATGACTGTGAAGGGTGCTGACAAAATGAGTTGCTTCTCGGATTCAACCCTTATTGAAATAGATACTTCACGCTTATAGGTGAAGTTTTTATAGTTTAGAAATGTGAAATAATAAAAAGCATGTTATACTTATAAGAATATGGCGTCAATTGAAAATCTACAAATTTGACCCTAGTATCGTTTTTGGGACAATATCTCCTTTTATGGATTGCGAGAAGTAACTCATTTTGTCAGCATGTCTCACATATTGTATCGTTAACCCCATACACTTGCTCACTGTGTTTGCAGGGATCACGGACACGTTGAGGAATGGGGTCAACACAAAGAAGCAGGATTACACCAAGCCCAACCGGAACAACGCAGACAGTGACCGCTCTAACGCTGACGCCAAGTCCGACCGCGGCCTGCACGAGCCCTGGTCGTGGTACAACAAATGCTATCTCAGGGAGAGGAACAAAGGTGAACAATTTGTGGCACGATGCGGTGAAATCAGGCGTTGGTCAATTTTTGGGCATATGGAGTTGATGGTATCATCTTAAGGCCTGTCCGTTTTCCTTGTTTTGGGTGAAAATGATACCCATCTATGTTGAATAGAAGTTGAGATATGTGTGGTTGAAGGAGGTGAGAGTCATCTGGTTCCAGAGGTAAAAATAGCGAGAAAATGGCTGCCAAAGTTATTTCTTTAGCTTGAGAGTCTGTGGAAACTGAAAATTTACATTTCTTCTGCCTTTAATAAATGTTTTTCTGTAAAATCCACACAGAAATGTGCTCTTTAATGTCCACGAAAGGTGCTGAACCAAAAAACAAAAGTTAAATAAAGTTTCCCAAACCTGCATGAAAATGCCAATATCTTGAGTTTCATTATTTTGATGAGCGCCTGATTTCACCGCGCTGCCTCACATTTTTCTTTGCTTTATTATGTAAGTGTTTCTATGCCCCCTCGACACAATTTTGATCGTTTAGGAGGCAGGGTCCAACCCTACCTGTTAGGACCAACCTGGGCTGAGAGGGACACAACGTCCCAACAGACATAGAAAGGAGGTCAATAAACATTCTTTCCACATGAGAATGATGTTGTTGCTGTTAGCGATCCAGTAGCATCTGAGCGTTAACTCTTCTGCATGATGCCATTCTGTAATAGTTGCATGTCTGTTCTAATTGTTGTCTTGAGGTGTAGAGGCAGTTAGATGTGTTTGGTAGCTTGGGAAGAAAACATCCCCTTAAATCAGTTAGTTTTCTACAAAAGAACAGATGATGTTCCACTGTCTCTGAGGGGTAGTCACATAGTGGGCAGGCAGCAGACTGCTTTACTCCTATTCAGTTGAGATGTTGATTGAGGGGTACATGTTGTGTTCTAAGTTGGAAGATTATGGATTGATCTCCCCTCTTCAACTCATTGGTTGGATCTTTGACCAGTGGTCTACGTGAGAATCAAAGTGAGGAATTCTGTGTGTGATAATGGTGCAGCCAATCATCACACTACAGATGGTAACGTGGTAGTTTCCTTCCTACCCGCTGACATTATTTCAATGTAGTATAAGAGTACCCGTTAATTAAGCCCATTGTGAACTAAATTGTTCTCAAGATTTATTTGGATAACAAATCATAAAGGCCTTCAAAAATATACTTATGTATACAAAATTGAAACCTTGGACATCAGCAGATGAAATGACAAAGTGCTTCCAAAGGACCAACCAAAGAAAGGAGAGCACCTCTGTTATTACTTCTCACCTTTGTACCTCTTCCAACAGGTTTGTTTGTCGCAGACCAGAAGCTGGAGTCCGACAATGGCTTGGGCTACAGCAGCGCCATCTACACGCGTCAGAACCCGAACGGCAACCGCTACGGCTACGAGTGTCCCGAGGAGAGGGATTACTTCCCTTACTGGCACCCGACACCCTGGAAGGACATCGCTGTTTTGGCAGAGAACGCGTCTATGTGCGAGTAAGAAATTCTGATCAGGCTATTTATTCCGCTTGCATTTTATTTTGTAAGAATAAATGGTGGCTTTTAAGCTGAAGGGGGCTATCCAGAAAAATGCTGTTTTGAGAAAATCGAAGGTAAAGTCTTTGCCCCATGTTCAGTTTCTTTAAAAGACAAGGAAAGTTGTCTCTATGACCAAACAAATATACACACCAATGAACCCAAACTTCTCCTATAGGTAGGGCAATGCCTACTTTTGGTGTAGGTCAAGATTTCTGGAACCCTCGAAATCTGGGTTAGCCCGCTTGTCCTTAAAAGCGACCAAATATAAGGAGGTCAAGATGGGTTTTTTTCCCCCTCCTGGTGTCCTGCCTCTCCGCAGACATCCTCAACAATGATCAAAGAGGTAGAGCTCTTTTCTGTAAAGTAAGATGTCTTTTTATTTGAATCAAATCCAGGGTTCCATTGCAAAATACATTTTACACTAATTCTGAGCATTTCAGAAAACCCCCATCCAGTCGACAATCTTAAAAGAATTGTTGTGAGAATATTTGTGAGTAAAGTGTTTGTCTTAGATAAGAAGATGTCATGGGTGGTTGGCGAGTGCTCTGGTGTGGTTTGCTCCTTCTTTCCAATCAAACATCTATCATCCTTATCTCCCCTTCTTTTTTCAGTTTGTTACTCTCTTGTAACACCTCTGATCTTCTGGCGCTCATATGACTTTTTTGCAGTTGCGAGCGCCGTAAAACCTCTACTAAAACTAAAAAAGGAAGATGCCTTACATAGTGCCGTTTTGATGTTTAAAAAAACTCAACAAAAAACGGCAAGAGGGGGATGGAAAGTAGCCATTTGTTCCGGTGATTGTCTTAGTGGTTAGGCTATCAGACTCGTAATCGTGAGGTTCCGGGTTCGGGGGTTCGAGCCGCGGGCCCAACGTTGTGTCCTTAGGAAAGGCACTTTACACAAATTTTCCTCACTTCACCCAAGTGGGAATGGGTTCCCGGCCAAAGACAGTGAAAGATCTTGTCTGTATGTTAGTGTTTTAGAGCCTATAAATGGCCGTTTGAACTGTTTGCTTCCCAGGAAGTTGAGGTTGTTTCAGAGTACTCTCAGGTCTACTGGGGTAATAGTATAGAATGTGAAGCGCATAGAGCTTGCTGTTGAGTGGGGATTTGCGCTATACAAATGCTATGTAATATTATTATAATACAGGTGGACGTTAGGCCGATTCTACTGTACAATCTGCCTTTTCCCCTCAGCCACTACACCAGGAAGAGCTTCAACGTTCAGCCGTATGGCGAGTGTGTGGAAGACAAAGGCTGGTCCAGCTACAATAACAAAGCTGCCTGTGAGAGCAATGGAGGAACCTGGAAGCTGCTCTATAACTATCTGGAGAAAGCAACAGGTGAGGAAAGGGTTTGGAAATAAGGATGAGAACAGAAGCTCAAAGTGGGTGGTTGGCGGGTGCTCTGGTGTGGTTTGCTTCTTCTTTCCGATGAAACATCTATCGTCCTTATCTCCCCTTCTTCTTTTTATGTTTGTTACTCTCTTGTAACATGTCTAATCTTCTGGCGCTCGTATGACCTTATGCAGTTGTGAGCACCGTAAAACCTCTACTAAGACTAAAAATAAAAAGAATCACTTATTTTTGTATATTTTACTTATATATTATAGCACCCACTCTCTTCTGTGTTGCTGTAGACCTAAACTCTTTCTTTGGAAAATATTGTGCTTTTCAGGCTGAATCATAGTAACTACAGGGCTAGAATTACAAATTTTATCGGGTAAGGAGTCTTAAGGAATTATCCAAAGTAATTTGTGTCACGCTGCAGTGGAATCAGGTGCTCGTCAATTTTCGGACATGTGGAGTTACTGGTATCATCTTAAAGCCTGTCCGTTTGCCTTGCTTTTGATGAGAAAAAATATCAATTTATCTTGGATGCAAGTCAAGATATTGGCGAAAAAGGAGGTGGGGGTCACCTGGATTCTGAGGTACAATTAGCGAGAAAATGGCCGCCAAATTTGAGTTATTTCCTTTACTTTGAGTCTGTGGAAACAGAAAATTTACATCTTTTATGCCTTAAATCAGCGTTTTTCAGTAAAATCTACACAGAATGTTCTTTAATGGGTATGAAAGGTGTTGAGCCAAAAAACAAAAATTTTATAAAAAATCTCAAGCGGGCGGGAAATGCCAGTTTCTTGACTTTCATTATTTTGACGAGTGCCTTATTTTCGCCACGCTGCCTCACATTTCTGTTTTTATGACTCTTTAACACTTTTATCCTTGCAATGACTTGTGTGTCTTTTCAGAGGATTTTTAATGTTATACCTTTGAACTTTATCTGGCCCAAGGAAAGTGTGCTCCTCTATGTTTAGGACAATGCGATAATTCAGATGAAATATACAAAGAACAGGGGAGGGACATTTAAAAAGTCCTGAAAACAGCTCTCATTGTATTCTTTTATTTTGTTGTAAGTGTTTTGCAGCGCTCGCAACTGCATAAGGTCATAATATGAGCGCGCGGGACACTAAAAAAGCCAAAAAGTCAACTTCCATTATCACATGCTTCCCCCCCCCCCCATTCACAGACAAGACCAACAAGGCTTCGTGCGAGAGGACGACCACCGGGGGCCTGACGTACAAGTGGGCTGTGCCGTACGACACCGACGATTACCAGCCCGAGTGTCTGGTCCTGGCCGATGCCCCGGAGTGTGCTGAGGCGCCGTGGTCACGGTGAGGACTTAGAAATGTGTTGGTGAATTGGGAGGGAGGACTGAAGAATGTGTTGGAGAATTGGGGGGGGGGAAGGGAGGGAGGGAAGGCACCGTGGTCA